TAAGGGCTCCAAAGGTGAAAGTTCTCTTTATTAAAGCATGGATTCTTGTTTACTGTCGTAGCATACAATTATTCTTGGTTTTTCTTAAATTGTTTGGTTAATCGATGCCACTCTTCATTGCCTAAACGAGTTAAAAACTAAGAGTTCTAAGGATCACTCTTTATTATAAATGATAATTTTATTTTGAGTTATTAAGTTACAATTGATCTCTTTAATTTCTTAAAGTAACTCCTCCATCGTATTTTGTTTCACATCACAGTGGCTTCTAGAGAGAGGGAAATAGTGTGGGGAGCCATTGAAGAGTTTCTAAATCGGCACACAGGATTTAGGAAAGATTATAATGAAATCCATTTGAATCTGAATTCCATCATGATGCGGATTTAAATACTTTCCTAATTAGTAATATCCAAAATTGGAAAGTTTTGAAATTCAAAATTTGAATTTCAAATTGACTCCAATTTTTCCCTATCAAGCCCAACCAAATTTGGAAAGAAGCATGATGAGTGAGAGCTTCATCACAATTGGAAAGGGAGCTTGGTGGGGGCGGCGACAAAGGGGAGGGGTGGATGGTTTGATTTCTTGCCGTCGGGTTATGGTGATTTTGGAGGAGGAGAGAGGTGAATTGGGGAAGCTATTGAGTGAAAGGATGGGTGTAAGTGGACGAACATGTGGCCGGTGGCTTGGGAATGAGTTAGGGCTGGCGGGTAATGGAGGATAAGGAGAATTGGGATGGCAGAGATAGACCACGAGCCACGGACTCTTCCAATGACTGGCGGGTATTGCTTTTGCCCTCACCTTGGGCTTTCCATAGAACTCACACAGAAATCTAGAAGAATTGAACTCACCAAGAGATCAATAAAATATGAACTCACAAAGAGAACACAAATAGAAGAATTTCATTTTCAATAATCATCATCCCCTCTCCAAGAGGAGGAAGAAGCCTTAAATAGCCAAATACATGAAGGAAAATAAAAGACATAATTGCCCCTAGGCAAAAATAAGACAAAGCCCTCAAGTGAGGGTAGAAAGGAAAAAGTACAATAACAAATCAAATACATAAAATAAATAGACATGATCGTAGCCGTTGATCTTCGATGTCCTCATCACATAGTCTCTTCCTATCTTGTACATCCAGATCCCCAATGAAATTGTTGCAGCCCTTGATGCTCAATCAGGTCCAACACTTGAGCTCTTTATGCTCCCATTAGCTACAGCCTTCACACCCTCATGTCGCCTTCCCATGTTGTGATTTTAGCATCTTATGTATCAGCTATTATTGCCTCCAGCACGAGATCTCCATCTAGTGATATCCAGATCTACATCTTCTGCCTTCATCTAAATCAGCCAAATTCTGGCAACCCATATCTCAATCGTTGGACTTCATCGCCTCTACTGGAACACAGCTTCTCTGATGTGAAACAACATGCGATGAACAAGAACTGCTTGGGGATTTTAATATAAGATTGTTAAAGCTTTGCTAGTTGTAAAATTAATGCTTCCCCAAAATAAGTTTTCGGAATTATCAAGTCGAAATTAAGTAAAGCATGCGGTTACAACTAGATTAACGGGACAATATCAAATTGACAACATAGAATTAGAGAGTAACGTTATGGGGAGACCTATCATCTCAAGCCATAAAACAATATTATTATCTCTCCCAATCAGTCATCATCATTCACCAAATTCGTCCCCCATTAATTTTGCCTCCTACCGCATGATCTTGCATATGTCCGCACTTAGATCTTGACCGTAAAACTTGGCACCCTATCTCTAAGAGATGAATCTCCTTCCATGATGTTATAAAGGTGTTCGATGAAATGCCCCTTGGGAACACTAGGCAATTAACTTAGTATAGCAGCAAATATGTTGGCACGCCATGTCCGAGTTGAAGAACTTTGGGAGTTTTAGGAGATTATCCACAAGATCAATCGGAGATTGTCTGGGATAGAAGTAAACACTCAACTTGGATACCCTAATTGCACGAAGAAGTGTCCTCTCAACTTTGCCAATAATAAAATTCAGGATACAACATATCATTTTTTTACCTTGGAGAACTCCATTGCTTTTCAAAATTATACAAGAAAATATTTGACTACTTTACTGTAGGAATATGGAACTTAAAGTTTCTACAAGTTTCGGGTATCCTTGTTATTATTTAGAATGCTTCTATGTCTTCCCGAAACATGCAACAAGCTTCTGCAGTAATTACTGTTACCTTCAGTACCATTCACTTGAATATAATATGACATAATTTAGCATTTTTCAACGACGAGACATAAAAGCTTTTAGCATTAAGACTTTTATTAGTGAGTTGATCGGGAAACTCAAATGCCCATGAAGGCGATGGCTGATTTGAGATTTAACTCAAAATTACTTTGCCAAGGTGATGAAGAATTTGTTATTAAAAGGAAGATGGAGTTTATTTATAAATATTTAAGTCTCAAAACTATGAATATTAGACTGGGCTCAAGATGTTTCCCTTTCCTCAACATGGCAACCATTGTAGGTCTCATCACTAGGTTCTGATGGAGTCAGTCAAAGACTTTGGCTTATTGAGTTTGGTACGTAGGAAGTTGTCTTGACCTGACCTGCATTGTCTAATCTCTGTTGTTGTATAATTTTTTTCTCAGGAAGCATGATTTTATAATTAATTAATGATTTAAGTACAACAAATGACAGTTATGAAAAATCGAAAAAGAAAAAAACATAAAAGCAAGCTGTAGAAAACATGATGTGATAGGATAAAATCCTCAGCTGAAAATAAAAAATGCATAAACTCTCATTTGCAATGTCTTCTTTGAAGCTCGGTGAATCTTGGAGACTGATGATTAATTTTTTTTCGTGTTCCTTCCCTGCTTGGCAGATAGAATGTAACTATTCATTTGAGTTGTTGTATAACTGATTTGATTTACTTGCATGGATAGGTCCTACAAGTCTATGATTATAAATTGTTGATTTTTTACTAGTGTTCTTGGAGAGTAATTCTTGTCATCTCATTCACCAAGAAATGCTTGCTTTTGGAAACAGAAACCATATGTGTTGTTTTTCAATCTGTACCTATTTTGCTATTTTGCTGTGTTTGCTAGTGCGGCTTGATGTTCTTTTTTCCAGTACTGGCTGCACGTGTTATTTACTGCAGAGGCATTACTGTTTGGCCAAATATCTCATATTAAGCTTATTAAAAATGTGTGCCGGCTAACTCTCCCATTTCTCTTCTTCTACAAATTCATGCGGGAAATGTACTTTTTTCATGCGTGGTTTTGTATGTTAGGGTTCAAAACCAACTTTTTAAATTCAGCTTTTAACATCATATGCTTGTATTCAATTTGTTTATAGTTTTCATCGTTTGTAGTATAATGTTCTTATAGAGTAGCTCAGATTAACCTAAAAAAGTGCTGAACTTCTCTTATTCACTTGTGGTGGTGTTTCTTTGTAGTTCCGTTTTCTATCTGAAAGTTGCTCGATTTTGGTTTTGGGTATAGGTAGCATTTATTGCAATTGGGGCTACAATGGTCGGAAGTATCACTTTCATAAAGAAAAAGGGTGATTACGTTCACAAAGGTGATGAGGTATTTGTCTTTAAGCTCTTATGCTTGCTTTGTTATGAACTTACGACTTTGAATGCTCAATTGAGAACTAACCAAGATGCTTTCTTATCTTTTTGTCAGTTTGGATATTTCTCATTTGGAGGAAGCACTGTAATATGCATGTTTGAAAAGGTTTGCTTTTTTACAATCTAGATGCAACTGCTGAGGATTTTAATTTCTACAACTGATAATCTTGTAGGCGCAAGTAGAATGATGGTTTCTTTGCAGCTGATCTAAATACTAGTAGATTTCTTAGTCCAAATTGCTTTAGATACTGTGTACGTTGTAATATAATTCCTTGCGTGATGAGATAGTTCCTTGATGAAGGTGAGTAAATGAAAACTTCATGCACATAATTTGAAGTGATAAAAGGAGATTGTAAATTGGCCTCACAATTAAGTTTGTTTATTAGATACCTATAGTTAATAATCATGAATATAAGCTATTGATTTCTATATATAGAAATAATCTTACATAGACCCATAATTTAAAAATCAAATAGAATCTTAATAAAACGTTCAAATTTGAACCCAGCATTCCAAAGATGATAACTTAATCTAATAAAGTAATTGAAATAAAAAATGAGAAAATTTTGCTATAATTAAATACGCACTTAAAAAATGCTTGAAAATTGGGCCATGTTTTGCTCTTTTGTAGCTGTGTTCGACTCTAAGTTTGAATTGTACTGCATCAATTCATCCTATCAATAAAAATCTCTTCTAAAAAATCTGTAATTGACAGCATAAGCTAGAGTAACTTCTAGTGGGACCCTGAGCAGGTTTCTGTACAAGGGTATGCAATGCAAAGCATAATCTAAATTCCTTAAAGTTGCCTCTTGCATATCAAAACCACTTCTTTTCTTGAACTCTGCTGTAGTTTCAGACACATATTGAATGATACTTTTCTTTGCTGCTCCCTCCCACACTTTGAAGCATATGTGATCGTTAACATTTAGGGCATATTTCACTAATTAATGTTTGTTGTAATTTAATGCATTTGTTTGTTTTTATACTACTTTTCTGTTATTTATAAACCTGCGATGCCATGCCTTACAAATGTCCATGCTGCAAAGCTTTAGGCTTCGTTTGGGATGGCTTTCATCCTGCTTCTTAAAGTGGTTTTTAAATACAAAGATTTATTTTTTTACTAGAAAATTGATTTAAGAAGCATTAAAAAAGTTGTTTCAAACGAAACATTAGTATGAGACTGCTTTTTTTACGTAAGAAATGTGTGTTTACAATTGTCTATTTTTTCTCATTCTGGAACCCCGGATATAAGATTGCCTCGTTCTCATTTAGTATAAGTTAAATGGAAATAGATGGGATAAAAAACAACTTTTTTGTTTGTACTGAAAGCCTGGTTTGATGATACTTCTGAACATTTATATCCTTGAATTTCAAGCAGCCAGGATAATCTTATGTGAAAATTATTGTTTCCTTGTTTCTGTTTGCAGGATTCCATAGACTTAGATGAGGATCTTATTGGAAATAGTGAAAGATCTCTGGAGACTTTAGTCTCTGTTGGCATGAAACTGGGAGTAGCCAAAGGCAAACGATCTTCAGAAGAATTTTCAAATTTGCACGGTATTTAGCCTGAAGCGTGCTTCCTAGAGTTTTGTATATTGTATAAATAGACTATCTTTTTACCCTGCTTTTTCTCTATTTATTTTCATGAAAACTCGTTACATGAACTAAAGCAACTATGTTGTAACAAATCAGTTCCATATACACGCCCCCATAGTTCATCATGCAACAACACTTCTATTAAGTTAATGAGTTCCATATGGCCAATGTTAAGCTGAAAGTCTGCAAAAATGTAACTTCAAATCTTCATTCTTTGAGTGGAGAACATAAAATGTCTATTTTGCTGCAGTTTTCTGCGAGTAAATTAGAGACTCAGTTTATTAACATGAGCACACGTGCTTTTGTAATGAAATTAACATCTGTAGAATTTGCTATTTATAGCTTTGAGAAACTTTTATTTTCATTGATCAATGAGCTTTTTTCCAATCATTTTTTGACCAAGAGTATTGTCCATGGATGCAAGTTCTATTTAAGAGTGACTATCAAACAACATAGAATTCTAAAGGTAGACTAGAATAAGGTTTCAGAGATTCTTCCAACTATTTGATAAAGCTGATCGAGATTTATTTTAATGCATATTTTTTCTTTGATGGCCAGCCACCTCATTTTCTTAAACAAAATTTCTTTTTTTTTGAATGATGGTTGATCATTATAACTCTATAAATAGTGTCGATATGTAAAAAAATGTTAGCTTTATGTGGAGTATTATTCATTTATTTGATGTTTGGTTGTTTCATGTGTGTGCATTGTATATGTTGAGAAGATATAATTATCTTTATTTCCTTCAACTATTCACTACTTTCTAACGCCTCTAAATTCTTCACACTTATTCTTCCTCTTCATAAGTATTCTCCAAGATGAATGTACCAACAATCAAAATCTTAAAACTATTGCAAACATTTTCACTCAGCTCTCGGCAAAAATAGATAGTATTAGCTCTTGGTCTTGTTCCCTATACCTTGGCATCCTTTTAAACTTAACTCAATCTTACCATCAACCACATATCATTAGTTTACATTAGAAAATAATCTTTAAAATGATCTTTCAAATTAGCATAAATCAGTATAAATTAGCCTAAAATGGATTACTCTTTGCATTCCCACTAGTTTTCTCCTCCAAATTTTTGATCATTTCATTATAAATTTGGAAACACTTGTTTAAACGTTAAACTAGAGATTTATAATCTTTTCTTCCCATTAATCTCATTAGAAAGCTATCAATGACGATCACATTTGGTATTAGTGTGAAACTTAAAAGGAACAATTTAGTTTAGAGTTTTTTTTTTTTGCCTTCCTCGGTTCCGTTGCTACCGCGGCCCCTACACTCATATGAGACACTGACTGAACACCTTGGTAGATCACATTCGTGTGATTCTGGACAACACCTTCGGGGGTGGACCCTTTCACTCTATTTTATTAGGAGCTAGTAGGCGCACCCCGACAAAATAGAAATTCTATGAAGAATATGATAAAATGAGCTTTTCTTGTGGTGGACTTATTTAGTTATTTTTAAGCTTTTGAGTTTTTCTATAAATTTTGATGTGAGTTATTATTATTATTTTTTTATGATAGTTTCATTTTATCTTGTTAACCTATAAATGAGGTATATTTACTTGCAAGATTATGTTGATTGCATAAAATTCAAATTTATGAGTTGCATTCTATGGCTTAGCCTTCTCTACATTATATCAATTTATCCTTAAGATAACATTTTAGTAAGAGAGTGCTCTACTCTTGAGATAACATTTTAGCAAGAGAGTGCTCTACTCTTTAAAATAAGCATTCTTAGTACAAAAATCAAATTTAAATTACTTTCTTTACTTTTTCAGTTAATGCTTATAGTTAAATCCAGAAATTTATTTGAACCAACTTATGATAACATCTTTTGTTAAGAATTGAAGGCTTAATATTCTGAGGTATTTTAGTTTGCATTTAAAATTACAAGCATAAGAACATATACATATCATCTTGATTTGCCGATCGACATGTTCATTCATTACGTTATTAATATTGAGGATATTCTATCACATGAAGAAATTAATAATTTCTTCATAAACTTCAACTTGTTTAGTCTAATTCTTTGGTAGAAGTTATTATTATTAACTTGCAAAATCCCTCGTTGCATATATTCTTAGAAGTTGAGCCCGTTATAATTGAATAAGAGCCCACAAATCAATTGATGTTCATAGATTTCTTATTAGATGGAAAAATAAACCCCCTATTGAAGATACTTGAATAACTCAAGCATATTTGAAATAACTTACCCTCCAATTGATTGAAAATTACTGAGATTTCAACTCTACGGAGCATAGTTTGAATAAGCTTGGAGTTGTTATAACACATCAAATGTATAAGGAAATTGAAGCTAAAAATTTCAATTATAAGTGTCTAAGGAAGTGCTAAAGAGCCCAATCAAGGCTCATTACAAGAGCCCACTCAAAGTGAAATAATTAAATTTTGAGTTTTAATATTTAAATTTCTGATATAGGTTCTAGAAGTTTGACTTTTGATTTTTAAGGAAGATGTATAGATTGGCCTTTTAATGAATGTTGAAAGTTAAAATGAATTAATGAAAATAGTTAGCACCCTAGCTCCATTCATCTAAAATTTATTTCTTTTTTAATGATGATAGTCATTATAACTTTATAAATAATATTAGTATGTAATAAAAATTTTTAGCTTTTAAATGATACATTTTGGTGAACAAATGTTCTTCATTTGCTTAATGCTTGGTTACTTGAAGTGCATGCCTTTTTTTATGAGAGTATATAGTCATCTTTATTTCTTTTAAGTTATTTACTATTTCTCTCTAACTCCTGCTTTTAATTCTTCTCACATTTTTCTCCACTTCATAAGCATCCTTTAACACCAATAAACTAACTAACAAAATCTAAAAAAGATTATAAATAATTTCATATAGCTCTCTACCAAACTACGAAAGTCTAAGACCAAATCTTATTCCCTATATCACGGTATCCACTTAAAACTCTATCAAACTCCACCATTAATCCATCTTATAATTTCACATCCTGAACTAACCATCCACTATCTATTTTCAACCATTTAAGCTGCCTAAAGCTCACATCCTATAGTGATTTTCTAAAGCAACCCAAATTAGACAAGTCTTAGCATTTCCACTTTTATACGTACCCCTTTAAATCCATCATCATTTAACCATAAACTCTAAAGAAAATATTTAAATATTAAACTAAAGATTCATATTTTTTTTTTAGTCACCGAGTATACAACATGACCCTCTTGCTTTTTTGGTCGACTACCTTTAGAAGGCTTCGCCTTCCTTAATTTGTTATAAGAACTTGAAGTTTCATTTGTTCGGATAACATCAATGATGTCTCATCATCCCCTATACCATCTACCTTACTAAGAAGATTCTAAATAACTTAAAGGGGCAGACCTTTAGAAATGTGGTTGCAGGGCTCTTGATGCTCTTATGAAAAATATCTATTATATGTTACTCCTAGAATTGCGGATTGCATTTGATGCTCAAGTTGCTCCACCTTAAAATATTATCAATTAAGGACTTTGACATCTCCCTCTTAGCCATAATAATATCACCCATCATAACCTTATTTTGTGCACTAGCAAATCTCTTAATCAATTGCTTCTTTAACTAAAAAAATCGAGTGTGACAATGAGCAACTCTATAAATCACTAAAAGACAAATATTATAAAACTGATAATAAAATGCTTTAGAATCAATGAATTACTACCCCTACATTATAACACATGGTTCTATAATGGGTTAATTGCTTCCCGCTCCATCAAATTGATTGAACTATTGGGGAACATAACCCTTAGATTATGGATTTGACTCATACTTCTCAGGGTATGGTTTTCATCTCTATCCTCTATATGAACATGACGTGCTGTAATGGTTGTCCTGACTCTTTGATCAACCAATATTTATAACTAAATGTCCAATTCAAGTGTCAAATCAAGTTTTCTAAAATTTTATCAATTTCATAGAGAATGTATAAAATATCAATTTAACTTACTTTGCCAATTGGACGAGGTTCAAAAGTGACACAATTATTCATAAACTTAAAAAATTCATACAGGGAAAACAAATCAATGAAACATTTTATTATCATCTAATTAATTAAAATTTTATCCACCCTAAAAAAAGAAGCTAGATGGTTGAAATATTTTAAACAATATAATGAATGTAAAACTCTCTAGGCGGCCTCTTTTCTCCCTTATATCCTATTTCAATTCACTGTTTTATGATAAAAATAACGACATAATAAAATTATTGTATACCCTACCGTTTGGCATACTAGGTCATATATGAATATGGATGCATAAATGCACGTGTTTATGCCCACTTATAACTCTCATTTATCACCTCCCACCTACTTGGAACAAGCACAAAACAGAGCCAGAACAAAATAGAGTATATTCTAATATATAATCATCTCAGAGTCAGAATATAACAAATTAGTCGACAACAGAGATACATTACATTAGACTCAAGTATAGAATTCAAAGTGTATTTTTATTTCCGTGACAAAGTTCCAAAATACTGTGAAATGCATGATGAGATAATGCAATTAGGGGTGTCAATTTCGGGTCACGGGTCGGGTTCGGGTCAAACCCGAAACTGACTCGGCACTATTCGGGTCAACCCGAACCCGACCCGTTTTTAAAAACGGGTCAGTTTTCCTGACCCGAACCCGACCCGCTTCGGGTCCGAGTCAACCCGACACGACCCGAATGACCCGTTTCCAACAAGAAAATGGCTAATTTTCAGGTCAAAACGGGTCAATCTCCTCTTTTCGGGTCAAAAACGGGTCAATCTCGGGTTGCTGGGTCAAAATCGGGTCACTTTCAGGTCAATTTCGGGTCAAAGGGTTAACCCGAACCCGACCCGATTTTTAAAACGGGTCGAAATGCTGAACCTGAACCCGACCCTAACCCGAAATTTTCGGGTAGGATTTTCTATTGACACCCCTAAATGCAATGTACAACTGAAGAATTTAAAGCATGTAAGTACAAATTACTTGATTTTATACAAAAGCTCCAATTCAAGTGTCAAATAAAGTTTTCTAAAATTTTATCAATTTCATAGAGAATGTATAAAATATCAATTTAACTTATTTTGCCAATTGTACCGAGGTTCATAAGTGACACAATTGTTCAGAAACTTAAAAAATTCATACAGAGCAAACAAATCGATGAAACATTTTCCAAACTCAAGAAAAATACATTTTTAATCATTTCTTATAATAGACATTTTTTAATTGTATTTAGAAACAAAGAATGGGTTGCCTATCTTAAGCCCGACAATTTCTCTAATTAACTGAGAGAACGATTTCTGGATTTCAACCTGCAAATTTTATCTTCCCTTTTTTTATTTCTTCTCTTCCTCTCTCCTTCACTGGTAATGACTAA